GAGACTCCGATTCAAAAAAATAAATAAATAAAAAATAAATAAATCCTGTGGGAGGAAAGGGCTAAGCCCCAGGGCACACAGTGAAGCAGAGATTACCTTCCTGGCTGGCTCTGCCCCATGTCCATCCCCAGCCTCTACCACAATGACCTGATTTTCCATGACAGTCCCTGGAAATTCCAGGACTTCTGGTCTCCCAGGTCATCTCAAAGTCCCAGGAATTGCAGGATTTGGATTTTCAAATGGCCTCACCCAGAAAGGCCCACACCCTGGGAAATGATTCAGATGATCACACATCCTGATTTTCAATCCTTGAAAATCCCTTGGGCCCTCAGATAAAGATCCAGCCCTCCTTAATTCTTTCCACAGACTTTTAACAGAGGCACAGGGAGCTAATATCCTCCAGGGGTTATGGCGCCAGGGTGGGAAGATTAGACAGAACTCAGTGACAGGACCCTCAGGCAGCTGAAAATCACTTCCATCCAGAGACCCTTTTTTTCTTCCTTCCATAACATTTTAAGGATCCTACAAAACAACCAATTCAATTTATTTTCTATCTCTAGCAAATCAACAGTATTTTCTTTTTTTATTTTTTTTTTTTTTTTTTTTTGAGTTGGGGTTTCACTCTGTCACCCAGGCTGGAGCACAGTGACACAATCACAGCTCACTGAACCCTCAACCTCCTGGGCTCAGGTGATCCTGGGACTACAGGCGTGCACCACCACACCCATCTAATTTCTTGACTTTTTGTAGAGACTAGGTCTCGCTATGAAGCCTAAGCTGGTCTCAAACTCTTGGGCTCAAGCAATCCTCCCGCTTCGGCTTCCCAAAGTGCTGAGATTACAGGTGTGAGCTACCACACTCAATCTCAGCAGTATTTTCTAAATAGGAATTGCACGTTCACAAGTGGATACAGTTCCTGTGATTCAGAAAATTATTCCAGTTGTATGTGTTTTATTTCAAATTAAGTTTTCAGGCTGGGCATGGTGGCTCAAGCCTGTAATTCCAGCACTTTGGGGGGCTGATGTGAGAGGATTGCCTGAGCCCACAGGTTCGAGAACAGCCTGGGCAACTTGGCTAGACCTCATCTCTACAATAAATCAGAAATTAGCTGGGCGTGTAGCATGTGCCTGGAGTTCCACCTATTGGAAGGCTGAGGCGGAAGGATCACCTGAGCCCAGCAGGTCGACGCTTAATTAAGTTTTTAATTTTAGATACAAATAAGTACACCAAAATCAAAACAAAAGGATGTTGAATTTTAAGGCCTGCAGGCCATTAAACCCTAGAGTTTTCCCTGTAGGATAAATTTTACTCCCCGCTCTGCCAGTTACTCATTGGCTGCTAGGTGACAGAAGTCTTGATGTGCCCCTCTGTGAAACAGGCACAGTAAGAGTACCTGCTTCGCCGGGCTCAGTGGCTCAGCCTGTAATCCCATGCCTTTGGGAGGCTGAGGTGAGTGGATTGCCTGAGCCCGCGGGTTCGAGACCCACCTGGGCAGTGAGACCTCATCTCTACGATAAATCTAAAAATCAGCCGGGCATGGTAGCATATGCCTGTAATTCCGGCTACTTGAAAGGCTGAGGTGGAAGGATAGCTGGAGTTCAGCAGGTCGAGGCTGCGGTGGCCAGGAGCGGCCACTGCACTCCAGTCTGGGCAACAGAGTGAGACTCCAACTCAAAAAAAAAAAAAGTACCTGCTTTATTGGGTTGTGGTAAGGACTACATGCACCTATTTATGTCAAGTGCCCAACCCAACACCTGCCACACGTAAGGTGCTCTTAGAAGATGCCAACAGGCCAGGCTCCGTGGCTCAGCCTATAATCCCAGTGCTTTGGAAGCCAAGGCGAGTGAATTGCCTGAGCCCGCGGGTTCGAGACCCGCCCAGGCAACTTGGCGAGATCTTGTCTCTACAATAAATAAATAATAAGAAGAAGATGTCAATACCCCTGTGTCAACAGTTCTCTTCTGATGACCATCTGGGTCACAGAACTCTTAAGTATTCTCACAGTCTTGCATTTTGCCTTCATGTGTTTATAAAGGCAAGTAAAAAACTGAAAATGCAAGGTCCTGGCCCTAGTAGCAAGCAGCATGGGTCTGAGACAATGAATAGAGCTGAGGCCAAGATGGGCACACAAGCCGGGCTGGAAGTGCATCTTTGGCATCATTTGGGCACCTGCTTGCCTAGTCACTAAAAGGGAAGGGAAAAAACTGAAGAACACAAAAGAAATTTTTGGGAGTAGATTCACGTGGCTACAGGTTGGAGATCCCTAGGAATCTAATAAACCCATGAGACTGTTAGTTCACTGTGAACAGAGCCTCCTTTCAAGCCATGTGGCCCTGCTCACTATTCCAATCATTTTGATGCGTTTATACCCTGTGTTAAGTGACCGTAAAAAGTTGGCTGTGCCTCGTGTGGAGCCAGGGACCCAGCTGGAACAAGGCAACAGGCCTAGCAATAAAACCTTAAAACTGCAATATCATGATCCCCCAGGCGGTGGCAGTGCTCTCTCCCACTTACCTGTCCCACTGAATTACCTCCTATGAACTAAGGACTATTTTTATCTCCTTCATATAAAAGAAACTGAGGCTCCCCACATAAACTGCAGTTAACCTCCCCAGTAATTGCCCGTGCACACATGCACACACACCCTCCACTCGGACGTAGCCTCGCTGCCAAGACAACCACCATGAACACCTGGGGTACCTGGAACTCCCCACCCATCCCCCAAGAGGGAGTCTAAGGGAACACCCAAGGCCTCCACAGCCTTCCACAGCAGGAGGAAGATGGAGCCCCTGCTCCACTGCCCTTCCCATAACCTTCCCTGCCAGCCACCCGCACTCCCAACTAACAGAGCCAGGTTTATCTGCACCCAGTCCAGCCTCCTGACCCTGCCCTTCTCACAGAGCCAATGCGCCGCAGCGTGTCTGAAGCAGCGCTGGCCCAGCCTGAGGGCCCACTGGGCACAGACTCCCTCAAGAACCTGACCCTGAAGGACTTGAGCCTGAGAGGCAGCTCAGAGACGTCAGGCACCCCTGAGATGTCGCTGTCAGCTGAGACACTTGGCCCCTCCACGCACTCCGATGTCAACTTCTTATTGCGGCCTGAGGATGCACCGGAGGAGGCTGTGGCTGGAAATGAGCTGAGCACCAAGGACAGAGGTCCTGGCGTGCAAGCCACCTTCCCCACGGGTTTCCACCCTCGGCGCTCGAGCCAGGCTGCCACACAGATGCCCCTGTACTCCTCGCCCATCGTCAAGAACCCCTTCATGTCGCCACTGCTGGCACCCGACAGCATGCTGAAGGGCCTGCCACCCGTGCACATCGTGGTGAGCACCAGACAGGGACGGGGTACCCCATGAGGGACAGGGCTAGGAACACCTGGGAAAGAGGGCTCCGGAGTCAGGGAGCAGAGAGAGGTGTGAGGTGTGCCATCAGGAGAGAGCAGTGCCTGGGAAGAGGAGGGCGGAGGGGACTCAGAGCCACCCGGGTTTTGGGGGGTTGGTTTTTTTTT